ATGGGCGGCAAGCCACTCCCACAAAGGAGGCCACATCCACAGAGTAGGTTCCAACAATTTTTGAAACCCACCACTGTGCCAGGGCCATAACTTTGGGCCCAGGTTGTAAGTTCTTTTGTTCAGTACCATTGTGGTTTCAAATGGCTGCTGAATCAATTGTTTTAAGTTAAGGAATACTTGCTAATGTGGCTTTTAACAGCATTGACAAGTACCATAGTGGTCAGGCACAAAAAATGATCCACAATTGCCTTTCTCCATTTTTATACTATATTTATCAAAGGAAAAAGATTGGGGTGGTGGGAGAGAGTCATTCCTGTTAAGCATCAGCTGCTCCCAGTGGCAAAATTCATTTTTTTTTACTATCGGTTCTGTGGCCGTGGCAGGGGAAGGATACTGCAAAATCTCCGTTCCCACTCCGGGGCTAACCAGAGGTGGCATTTGCCGGTTCTCTGAACTACTCAAAATTTCCGCTACCGGTTCTCTAGAACCTGTTAGAACCTGCTGAATTTCACCCCTGGTTGCTCCTCATACCTAAATAATTTCCTAGAGCTTAATTGTTTTAGATTAGCTCATCCCAACCTAAACCACTCTGCAAGGTGTTGGACTACAAGCCTTGGGAAATTTGGGAGTTGCAATGCAATTTGGACATTTGCTTAAAGATGATACCTGCTAACACCTTGGCTTAGATGCATAGTGAAAAACACTAGTTTAATTAATTAATTAGAGAAAAGAAGAAACTCTTGTGAGATATAGCTGCAAACTAAGGTAGCAGAAAAGGACTACATAAAAAGAACGGATATAACAAACACATTAAAAAAAAGATAATACTTTAAGTAGCGGAAGTCCCACCTTTGTGTATTCATCTTTGGCTCTGGTGAGCATCTGCAAGATATCCATGTCTTTCCTGTCACCAGAGCTGAGGCTGACTGGTGAAATCCCTAGGCCAGATCCCTGCTGCGCTTTCAGTTGTTCTTGCTGAGTTAAACTGGAAATGGGAGGCAAAGTCAATAATGAATGAGAAAATGGGTTATTTTCTAATCACTTCAAATAATTTAGAGATCATTAAGAACACTTTTTAGGGTGTTTTATTTTAAATAAAAAGCTAAAAGTTTGGTTAAGGCTGATAATGTGATTCCTCCAATTTTATGCAATTGAGCTTTAAAAGACACCAATCTCCCAAACTCAGTCACAGCTCATTTTATGATGGCTGGAGTTCTGAGCTGGTGAATAGATGCAAATAAATATTTAAGTACTAGTAAATGACCAATTTCCTGCCCCAGCTGCTTTATAATTACTCCAAAGAGCTGAAAATGTGAACACAAAGTACATTGATTGGACCACGGCATAACTTAACTAGGATGAAACATTGCTTTTCCAATGCACTAAATGTATTTACAATCATATAAATATTCCCCAGCTAGTCTTTTATTGAGCTACTTTTAAAAATTAACAATGGCAGGATGATTGGCTTCCAAACATAATTTATTAAGAATATGCAGTATATTTTTTGTGGGGGGGGGGGGGGTTGACCTTCATTCCCCTCAAAGTTATTTTGCTATTGCTTTTAACCGACCTGTTATTTATTATTTATTATCGTATAATATTCTTGATGGACAGAGAATTTATAAATATTATCTTCAACTATTCTTGCTACAAAAATGTTGTCTGTGATACCTTCCAAACCAACAAGCTATGGAATAGATTTCCACGAATTACAGCCCACTTATCCTTCCTGTGGCTGAGCCAGTAAGACCAGGAGTGAGCTTCAAAAATTTTAGCAAGGGGTTCTCTGCCCAGTTGCTGGGTGGGTGTGGCTGTGGTGGGCGTGGCCTAGTCAGCCTCCTGCACCAGATGGGAGGGGGGATTGCCCTCCCTGGACTCCGGAGGCTTTCCTTGAGCCTCCGGGAGGGCGAAAACAGTCTCCTCAGGCTCCGGAAGTCAGAAACGGGCCCATTTCCCGAACCTCCGGTAGGCCCATTTTTCGCCCTCCCCAAGCCTCCGCGCGCACCCTGCACTTACCTGCATCCAAAACAGGCCACGTGGGGACTCCTGTGAGGAGAGGCGTGGGCAGGGGCAGCCAGGAGTGGGATTTAGGGGTTTCCCGAACTGCACAGAATCTTAGCTAACGGTTCTCCCAAACCCCTATGAACCCCCACAGCCCACCCTTGCATAAGACTTTTTAAATGGGTGTAGCAACATTACAGTTCAGACACCTAAAAAAAGCCTAAAGACCTTTCCACATGATTTGAAGATCCCACAAGTAGCAGAAATACTGCTGAGTACAAAACTGGGACTGTTACAGCAGGGCACTGGAAGACTGTCATAAAATGTATATATAAAATTCTACCTCTTTAGGAACCCCCTAAATGGGAATTAAATAGAGCCAAGATCTATTCCGCATGAGTCTATTCCAGAAGTTAGAATGTTTCTTGCTGTCTCGTGGCTTGATGTAATGGTGAAGGAGGGTTCTCTGTAAGACACACTAGCAAAGGGCAGAGCAGAGAATATAATCTCATTGCCACTTGAGCCCTCCTTTTATATAATAATAATAGTCCAGAAGCATAAAACCTCTCTAACTCCAAAGGTATTGGTTCCCACCACAAAAATTAGGAAAGCAGGTGTGTGTTTGGGGTGTGTGTGTGTGGAGAGTTTAGACATAAATACTTTAATTTAGGACATACAGGTACCAAGGGGGGAAATCTATTATTAATGCATCCCAAATGCAAGATACATCAGCAGTTTTGCTATAAGCTGGTCTATCTTTAAGGGAAAAGTAATGAATACAGTCCCTAGAGGTCTCTAAATTTTGCTGATGTATTGTATTTTTTTAACATGATAGAAGGAAACAATATATATGTATGCATGGCTCTGAAAGTTGGACCATAAAGAAGGCTGAGCGCCAAAGAACTGAGCCCTTTGGACTGTGATCCTGGAGAAGACTCCTGCGAGTCTCTTGGACTGCAAGGCGGTCAAACCGGTCAGTCCTAGAGGAGATCAGTCCTGACTGCTCTTCAGAAGGCCAGATCCTGAAGATGAAACTCAAATACTTTGGCCACCAAATGAGAAGGAAGGACTCACTCATTGGAGAAGAGCCTAATGCTGGGAAAGATTGAGAGCCAAAGAAGATAGGGACAACAGAGAATGAGATAGATGGATGGAGTCACCGAAGCAGTAGGCGTGAGCTTAAATGGACTCCAGAGGATGGTAGAGGACAGGAGGGCCTGGAGGAACTGTTGTCCATGGGGTTGCGATAGGTCGGACACGACTTCGCAACTAACAAGAAAAAATGGGTATATTTACATATGTACACACCAGTGATGGGATTCAGCCAGTTCGCACCTATTCGGGAGAACCGGTTGGTAACTTTCT